GCGCACAGCAGTGTCCCACAAACAGTCGTGGTTGGAAGTGAACAATTGTTTTTCTTTCATGAGGGATTATTATCAGGCGTGTGGAGTAAGGAAACTTGCCCAAGGTTTCACCCTGACGGGAATCGAACCCAGGTCTCTCGCTTGCAAAGCGAGTGCTCTAACCACTGAGCTACAGGACTCCTAGTTTGTTGTAAATCCAATTTTCATTCCTCTCCATTCACGTCATGTCCTCCGTCGCTTCTTTACTTTTGCTTTAGTCGTGTGGAAGTGATGGCCTGGGCTTACCTTATCTTGCATTTGATTTACTTCAGAAAGCTTTCCTCCCCCACCCACCCACCCACCCACCCACTCACCCACCAACTACCAACGATCTTCTTTCAGGATAAAGGTTTTGTTTGTGTGTGCGTGTCCCTTGTCTGTCTGTGGTGTGTGTGTCTGTATGTGAAGGGTATTCTTTTCCTGCGCAGTATATATTTTTAGAATTCTTTCTTTGAATTCACACCGTCTCAAACAAGCAGATTGTCTTGACGTTTGGGGAGATTTTATTTTACTAAAGTGCTGCTCCATTTGCTGACGACGACCTTTAGCTGTGACATGGGGTGAACTCTGTGGAAAGGTGAACAATGATTAATAACGATAAGCCGGCAGAACAGGGGCAGTTTCTGTGAATCGGGCAAATTCACAAGAGGTTTCTTTTCACCCAGATCGGGTTGATCTTTTAAACTGTCTGGAGGAGAGGTCAGCAATCTAGCACGCCACCCTGCGTGGGAGTCGCTATACAAATACCAGTTGTTGTTGTTGTACACAGTCCACAAACAATGCGCTGAATGGCCCCATTCTGTGTCCCTCTGGTTCCCCATCACTGTGTTCACTTTCCACAAGAGGACAGGTTTCTTCTCTGTCTTTTAAAAGTAAAAGCCGTAGAGAGATGCTTCTGTTTCTATAACCGCCCCCCACGGCCCTCCCACCCACTCTCACGCGCACACGCACATGGTCTTTAAACCTGACATTAATAGTCGTCGGCTCGGGTGATAGTACAGGATAATCATAGGGTGAAAGTTAATTTCAAACGTTGCTCTGATCGAATGAGTATTGATTTGGTAAAAAATGCTGTAATACCCTGTGTGAGTGCAGTGTATTGCCTTTTGTAACGGGCGCCCGTTTGATCCACTCCTAATTGCTTTACATGTATTTCGCTGCTTATCTGCTGAACTAGGAACTTTCTATCGATCTGTTGGTGAGCCGGGAATCCTGGCTTGTGATCAGGGAATGATAAAGGCTGACACTCTGTCCTTGCAGGGTGTTTGTCCTTGGGTCCAGAATTGGTGTTTAGTGCCACCAAGCGTTCACTGGTCGATTTACACCATCATAATAATAATAATAATAATCCTTGCATTTGATCGCGTTGTTGAGACATCTCAACGCGCTTCACAGGATACACTGTAAACTCGATTAACTGTGTATTTTGTGGGTGAAACAGACACACTGAAAGGACCCAAGTCACAATAATCCTTTCATTTGATACAGCACCAGCCGTATATCACTTTGTCAAAATGTCTCAAACGCTTTACAGGATTTCGCTGCAGAGTGTAGTGACTGTGTGTTTTGCTTCATTGCCCTCTTCTTGAGAGAGACTGCAGGGGTGGCCGACATAGAACATGGAAGCATTAAGGTGCAGCCTTAAAGCAACTGAATTAAGACTTCCGATTGAATTGAAGAATTTTCCACCGTTCTGCAAATTCGAAGACTGACATGTTCTCAGGGCTGAGCCCAAGCCGGGGGGTGTGGGGGGTGTGGGGGTGGTGGTGGGGTGGGGGGGGAGGGGGTGTTAGCCTGCGGTGTCATTATCACAAAGGAAAGGCAGGACAGTCACAGGGCTCTGAGCACCTCGCTTGTGGCTGCGTGTCTGAGGGGACGAGCAGGCGAGTTGACATTTTGAAGATGTGAAACACATCCTCTGGCACTGAGCTCTGACACGGGCTGTGTGGTTTGTGTGAGCGCCAGGCTCCCCGCTTCACTCACTGTGCCAGGTGCCGGGTGTTTATCTCTCTGGTTTGTGGCTGCGGCCTGCAACGGTTTCGCATCCACAAACGTTGCAGCGATGGGGAACCGAGTCCTGGCTGATGTTCTCTCCCCAAGACTGATAGTTGGGCCCCGTCCCATATTACAACAACAACAACAAAATTACATTTGTTATATAGGGAAAGGCTTCCACCTATTGCTAGCCTTCCAGACCATTTGGTCTGAGAAACGTCGAAAAAGGCGCAGAAATGTGGACACGTTTCAATGAGGTCTTCATTTTGGAAGCCGCCTTTCGCGTTTCTTAAGACAGAAATGAAGAACAAATTGGAGACTTTTCCAATAATTTGTTGTTGTTTTTTTCAAAAAAAAATAAAATAAAAACGGTTTGTCCGGCTGAGACCGTGTAGAATGTCAGGGTCTCTGGTTTCCTGTAGAAAAATGGCAGACATCGACAAGGCTGTCAATATGAAAGTGTTTTGTTTGTTACCCACATTATGTAAGACAGACTAATGGCAGGGCAGCTTGGCTCACACCACACTGCAAAACTAGTCAACTAATAATAATAATAATCCTTGCAGTTGATACAGCGCCTTATCACGTCTTCGAGGCGCCTCAAAGGGCTTCACAAGAAGTTATACTGCAAAGCGAATTCATTGTATATTTTTGGGGCCAAAACTAGAGTTAAAGCAGCACGTTACTCTGTGAAACAAGAGCTCCCGTCACCTTTTTTTTTAAAAAACAGAAACCAGGATTACTGTCGGCCGGCCAGCCGGTTACCGTTTGCGCGCTCAGAGCCCATTTTCCTCAGAAGACGAGGATATGAGGAAATGTGTATCCCGAGAGAGCGAGAGAGCGAAATTTACATTCACTGCAACCAAAAAAAACACAAAGTTGCCCGGACTCACATGCGTTCATCACTGGAGGAAACAGTGCAGTAACAAGGCATTGGTGGTTCTCTATTGTTTCTGACAACCTCTCACCTTCCTTGATGAGCAGAACCGCAGTGCGATTACAAAAGTGCTGTGGTAAGCGCTTCCTTCAACATATCAACAAAGTTGCAGTCAAATTAATAAACCTCTTTGCTGGCTCGGATACACAGACCACAGCCCTGTCGCTTTGAAGTAATTTCACTGTTACACAAGTTGGAAGTGCTGACAGTCCTCTCCCTTCAGCCCTAGAGCCTGAGCTTCAATTTGGCCCATTCTGGTCAGGTCAATGATTCCCTCTCCATGCAGCGTAAGGAGGAATTGTCGGGTGGCTCTATTCTCCCCTCCCCCTCCCCCACCCCTACCCTCCTCCCGAGGAGACGAGAGCGAGAAAGAGAGAGAAAAAAAATGATTGGCCTTGAAATTGGGAATGTCGCTGAGCGTGACTGCAGGGAAGACCGATGTAGAACATGGAGTCATTAAGGTGCAGCGCTGGAGGAGGAAAGGGAGATTTAATCTGAATTTCACCCTAGTTCTGCAAAGTGAAATGTGAAACCGTGTTTCATTACCCAGAACTGAGAGCCGTCAATTCTTCTAAAAACTCAACCACTTACGTGGCTCAGTGAGAGGCTGAATGAATCATTAAAGGGATCTATACCTGCAGAACTCGTTGTAACTCAAGAGTAAATTGGCCATTCATCCTCGTGGCTGTTTGTGGGACGTCGCTGTGTGCTAAACGGTTGTCACGACAATTTGAGATGTTTGAGATGCTGAGTTTTCTCTTACTAGTGAATATTTCTCTTTTCCAGGTCTGCGAAGAAACCGCACCCAGCCAGTCGCCTCTCGAGCAGAACCAGAAAGACATCACTCGACTTACGAGAATATCCTTCAAGGACACAATGTACAATTACTGAGCCTTTCCTTGAATACACGACTCTCTCACCCCCGCTCACACTCACTCACTTGCTCACTAAAAAGATGGCCAAAGCCTTGAGAGACTCTCGCTCATTCCATCGCCAGACCCTGAATCCAATTCGTTACGTTTGGAATTTGGAAAAGTCATGAGGAACTGAAGCAATCAAAGCAAGACAGTGGCCTAACGTGTGTTACAGCCACAGCACGGCACTGCAGGAACCCACGGCACTGCAGGAAACGGCACTGCAGGAACCCACGGCACTGCAGGAACCCACGGCACTGCAGGAACCACGGCACTGCAGGAAACGCACTGCAGGAACCCACGGCACTGCAGGAACCCACGGCACTGCAGGAACCCACGGCACTGCAGGAACCCACGGCACTGCAGGAACCCACGGCACGCAGCGCTGCAGGACCTCAATGAATAAAGTTGGTTGATAAAAAAGTTGAAAATAAGGTTGAAAAATTAATGCTGTTTTGTTGAGAAACAAAGGAATAAACTTGTATTTTAAGAGCAAAACGCCACTGACTGTGAGGGTGGCTTTCGCTCCATGTCAGGCTCTCTGAATGTAATTGATGAGAAAAGCAATTC